GCGGAGCAGGGAGCCCAATGCGGGGCTCGATCCCAGGATCCTGGAATCATGACCTGAGCCGAAGGCAGACGCTTAAGGACTGAGCCACTCAGGTGCCCCTCATATTTGATCTTTTAACTGTCAGCTTATTCCAACTAATTTGTATTGTTTGATATTATTTGCTATTTTTTAAGCTGGTTTTTTCCAGTTTTACCGAGATATAATTGACATACAGCAGTATATAACCTTAAGGTGTACAGTGATTTGACTAACATACATGGTGAAGTGAGGACCACAGGAAGTTTAGCTAACATCCATCATCTCGTCGATATGAAAAGAGAAAGAAAAAGATTCTTCCTTGTGATAAGAACTCTTAAGATTTACTTTTAATAATTTCATATATACCCTACAGCAATGTTAACTATTGTCATGTTGGATGTGACACCCCTAGTACTTTTTTATCTTAAAATGGAAGTTTGTACTTTCTGGCCATCTTCATCCCATTTCCCCTCCCTCACACCTGCCTTTGGTAACCACAAATCTGGTCTCTTTTTCTATGAATTTGGCTTATTTTTGTTTTTTTTTTTTTAAGATTCTACATACAAATTAGATTATGCAGTATTTGTCTTTGTCTGACTTGTTTCACTTATTATAATATCGTGAGGGTTCATCCATGTTGTTCCAAACGGCAGGATTTCCTCCTTTTTTATAGCTGAGTGATATTCCACTGTATAATATACAACATTTTCTTTATCCATTCATCCATCGGTAGACATTTAGGTTGTTTCCATGTCTTGTAAATAATGCTGCAGTGAATACAGGAATGCAGATATCTCGTCAACATCGTGTTTGCATTTCCTTCTGATGTACGCCCAGAAGTGTAATTCCCGTATCAGAAGGTAGCTCTGTTTTTAATTTTTTTGAGGAACCTCCTTTCCACAGTGGCTGTACCAGTTTGCATTCCCACCTACAGTGCACGAGCATTCCTTTTCTCCACATCCTCACCGACACTGGTTGTCTCTCTTTCTGATGCTAGCCATTCCGACAGGTGTGAGGTGATATCTCACTGGGGTTTTTGTTTGTTTGTTTTGCATTTTCCGGATGGTTAATGATGCAGAGCATCTTTTCATGGACCTATGGGCCATGATATCTTCTTTGGAAATGTCTATTCAGGGGGTGCCTGGGTGACTCAGGTGTTAAGCGTCTGCCTTTGGCTCAGGTCATGATCCCAGGGTCCTGGGATCGAGCCCCACGTCGGGCTCCCTGCTCACTGGGGAGCCTGCTTCTCCCTCTCCCACTCCCCCTGCTTATGTTCCCTCTCTCGCTGTCTCTGTGTCAAATAAATAAATAAAACGTTAAAAAAAAAAAAAGGAAATGTCTATTCGGGTCCTTTGCCTATTTTTAAATTATTTGCTTTTTTGTTACTGAGTTGTATGAGTTTTTTAATATATTTTGGATATTAACCCCTTATCAGATATTTGGTTTGCAAATATTTTTCCCCACGCTGTAGGTTGTCTTTTCATTTTGCTGATTGTTTTGCTTTGTTATTTTTTATGGCCATATACATTCTAAACATCAAGCTGGGAATCTCTCTCAAATAGTAAATTGAATTTATGTTTTCTTTTTAAGATTCAGATATTCATACAGCTTGAAGAAGATCTGAAAGAGGATGATGAATTATTAAGGTGAGTTGTGCAAGGGTCTGTGCGCATATGTGAGCAGACATCACTTTGTGATGTACGGTTATCTAACAGTCAGTGTTATTTTCTTCAAGTACTTGTGAAGGGACCAGCTATTTGACCATTTCTTAAACAGAAAAAACTCCTTATGGACCTTGCACAGGCAAATGGACTACAGCGTATGTGAACGAATTTATAACGAGTTTCTTTGCAAATTTATAGAAACAGCAACAAAATCAACAGAATGAAAGTTTCAGTTGCCGATGGAAATGGGCCCTCAGTGGGGGAGATACCCCAGAGTGAACTGGTCTTATATTTATCAGCTTGCAAATTCCTGGACACAGCACTTTCTTTTCCACCTGACAAGATGCCGTTATTTCAAATGTAAGTCAGATAAGACCATGTGTCCTCTTTGAAATGGTGACTTTCCTTGTCAGCACTTTCACTTTGTTGTGTAGGGTGTGTGAGAAGCCCCGGTTGGGGTTTCTAGTGGCGGATGAGAATACCAGGTTTCAGAGTTCTTACAATACCTGTGGTTTCCTGAATTTGGCTCATAATAGTGTTTATGGATGGGTTTCTGGGCGGGGGAGGGGTGTGTGTGTTGAGCAGGCTTTGCTATTGAATGCGTATAAAACAAGAGTCACAGGCTGGTGGTCCTCACTGCATTTGTGCAGATTTCTTTGTTTGTTTTTAATTAAATAAATGGAACACTCAGGCGCCTGGGTGGCTCAGTTGGTTAAGCGACTGCCTTCGGCTCAGGTCATGATCCTGGAGTCTCAGGATCGAGTCCCGCATCAGGCTTCCTGCTCAGCAGGGAGTCTGCTTCTCCTTCTGACCCTCCCCGCTCTCATGTGCTCTCTCTCTCTCATTCTCTCTCTCAAATAAATAAATAAAATCTTTTAAAAAAATAAATAAATAAATAAAATAAATGGAACACTCTTATCTCCAGCTCACTTTGCCCCTATTGGCTTACATTTCCTATAGGCTTAACACAGCTGCTCATATGGTTAATTTCATGCCTGGCCCCAGATACCACTTCTCTCTGTCCTATCCCCCTACAGAGATAAGAGAATAATCATGTAGAACTGTTTGTGGTTAAAATGTCGGTTCTTCTTAAGTGCATATTACAAAGTGAAAGAAGCCAATCTGAAGTGGCTACATACTGTGTGATTCCAGCTCTGTGATACTCTGGGAAAGGCAAAACTATGGAGACAGTAAAAAGATTGTCAGGGGTTACAAGAGAGGGAGTCAGAACACAGAGGATTTTTAGGAGAGTGAAACTACTTTATTTGATACTATAATGGTAGATATATGTCATTATACATTTATTCAAACCCACAGAATGCACACCACCAGAGTTAGCCCTATGGTAAACTCTGGACTTTGGAGGGCATCGCATGGCTGGGCGGGTGGTGGTGGGGAGCACATAAGGACTTTCCAGGCAATTGTGTTGGGAACCTAAACCTGCTGTAAGAAAAGAAAGTTTTTTTGTTTTTTTAATTTAATTTTTTTTTTGATGTAGTGTTCCATGTTTCATTGTTTGTGTATAACACCCAGTGCTCCATGCAGAACGTGCCCTCCCCAAT